TATAATCCTAAGATTAAAGGGTGCTGGTTATTCCGAAGTTATAAAGTGCCGAGCTAATAATCAATTGATGTCCAAATATAGCGAAAATGGAATGAGATCTAAGAATTTTAGAGACAGGAAGGAAAGAAAAGCCGCCTCACCCATCACCTGGGTGGACTCTGCACAGCTAGTTTCTATGAATGGTGGCTGTCATCAATTTATCTGTTTTTGGTTCGATTTGGGTCTCCACCACTCGATTATGAATAAGGTTTAGAACAGTACTATATGTTGAAAGACTTTTGCCATATAGTGTGCCATCTACCTGGCTTTAGCATCAAGGTTGTCTGTAATTTTAATCGCTTTATTGTGCGCTTGATGTATTGACAAATTATAATGGCATAAGCTCTCGTGCAGTTGCACATGCCCAGAACTGATTGAAGCTTATCACGCAGCCAGCAAAATCACTTATTTTGCAATCAGCTGCAAACACAGCCCCCAGCTTTAGCGTCGAAGCCAACTTCCACTCTATGTTATTGCTGTGCCACCCTGAGAATAATGAAGCATATCCCTTGGAATTGACAGTGGGCATGGCGCAAAGTTGTCAGTTATTGGTGTTAGTGTTGTTGTTGTTGTTGTTGTAGGTACGCTGCGTTCCGTTTAAAAGCTGTCGATGCTATTTGACAGCACTAGCGTTGAAAAAATGTTTGTCTCGATGCTCTGGAACAGGCAAGAACAATGCACAGCGCCTATAAATACATAGTTGCCAGGCCACTTAAATGGCTACAAAAATAAACCAGGTTCTCAGTTGTGTTGTTGTTGTTATTGTTCTTGTTGTTGCCAATAACAAATTAAGGCTTTTCACTTTTATGGCGAGGCACAAAGCGGCACGGAGCGAGCGACGGTGTTGGCCACGTTGTCTGGTACACACCCCAAAAAACAAAAAATGCGCTCGCATTGCGCTGGCAACTTCACGCGGCCAGCAACACAAAACAATCAGAGCCTACGTAAATAGCTGAGCGCATATGGATGGGATTGGGCGGCGATCGGCGATCGGCGTGGGGCGGGGGGCAGTGGGCAGGCAGAAGGACGGGCAGTCCGTTCAGCGCCAAGCAACCCATAATCATCGTCATCATGTGGCAGCGTCGTCGTCGTCGTCGTCGACGCCGCTGAGCCGCATAATGCAGGGCTTTGCAGTAATCCAGCGGCTGCTGAACTCAAAGCCCAAAATAAACTCAAAGAATCCGATATACACACACAGATGTATTTATATATATTTGGTATATATTTCCGAAACCTTAAACAAAATTGCGGCCCCTAATGAAATCTAAATAGCTTTGTAATGAGATACAAAATGGTTTACAAAAATAATAAAATAGCTTCTTCAAATTTCCTGAAATGTTTTTCTTCAAACAAGCACTAATAGTTGCAGAATATGTTCCACATGGTGTTTTTATGATGAAGAACTATATATAATATACAAACATTTTTTCATGTTAACCCTAAAATTCACATTGTGGTCTTACAATACTTCGAATATAAAATATAAATATCAAATAATGAGCAGTACATCGCACACTTGAAGATCGATCAACTCTACAAAATATTTACCAGAGTATTTTTGGTTTTTGGAAATAAATTGAATGAACACACGAAATCCCTTAAAGAGTTCATGAATAATCAGAAGCAATTCAAAATTATAATAGGGAAGAATAACTTTAAACTTAAAACTTAAAATAATGAGAGGGAAAGTTAAATATTATATGAGTAGAGAGGAACATGAATTAAAAGCAATACAAATCAATAATTATTTATCTAATACAATACGTCTAAGAATTACATCTATAAAATAATATAATATTTAAAATAATAAAATAATAATAATAATTAAAATATATATTTACTTCTGTGTACACACTATTAATTATTAAAACTTTCAAAAACATTATTAATTCAAACACCTTTTTTATCAGTTTAAAATAAACACCCTCCGGATGAACATCTGTCAATGGTTTTCCAATCCTCAAAGAAAGCCGATCCTTTTCTTTCCTTTACATATAGAGAATATGTTTGTCATTAAATGTATTGCAACATTAGCCGTGGCTTATTACTTAATTGTAAAATTAGTTAGTCTAAACAACTTCTTAAATATACATATGTAGTATAATTTGATTTCTGTCCAACCAATAATATGTTACATTTTCATTAGTGAAGAAATTGAAAGCGGAATGAATGTCTTAATGAGCAATCAACTAGATGCAATTTCCTTAATTTATTTATACAAAAAATATCCTCCCTTTTTCTCTTAGTGCATGTAGTTGTTATTCTTTGCATTTGTTATTCATAATACGCATTGACTGGGCAACTAATAATACCTATGCGCTTTTAGATATGACACAAAGGTTGGTGTTTCTGGGCATGCGTGTTTCAATGACCAAATTTTGGCAACGAAAGAGCAACAGCAACAGCAACAACGCCAACAACCGACAACAACAAGAACCAGAACAAGAGCAGCAACTGGAGAAGGAAAGAAAAGAATGAAATACCCATTCGAAACTAATTTCAGCAACTTGTGTTTGCCTGTTGATCTTCTGAAATTGATAGGAGCAGCAAATGGAAATAACTCAAGGCATACAGAAGAGCGCTTGAGCCGCATGCCGTGCCGGCCAAAAGGAAGAAGCGTGCAGGAAATAATGATAATGACGACAGCGGCAGCAACAGCAACAGTAACAACAGCGGGTTCGAGGAGGTGTGGTGCAGGCCAGAAATCAGCAACAAATAAATGAGTTCATGCAACGTCTTTGAAATGAAGACAAAGTGGTGGCCAAGTTGCCTGCCTGCTTGCCTGTTTGCCAGTTTGCCAGTTTGCTGACTTGTTGGCCAAGACAAAGCCAAAACCAAAGCCCAAACCCAAAACCAAAAGGCATGAAGAAAAGCAGTCGTATAAAAATGATGTCTGCGTTGCGTCTAGAATTTGTTTGTGAGAGCACCAAAGCAGCAAATCCAAAGTCAGAGCCACAGCCACAGCTACAACGAAATGAAGAAACACTGGCCAGCATATCACAAAATATCATCGCAATCGGCCCAGCCAGTGCTGTGGAAGTTGCTTGTGGTTTTGCGTATGTGACGTGCCAGTTCAAAAGTTCAGGCCACGTTTCGCCACCTACAAACATAAGTGGCAGCCGCCCCTGTGTTGCGTTTTCTTTGAGGGCGTGGCTGGCACTTTTGCTTTTTCTGCTGTCCGAAAATAAAAAGACAAGAAAAATTGCAGCGGACAGGCGTTCTGTCTGCAATTCATTTCATTTTAATAAAACGTATTGGCAAGTTTTGTGCCACCGCTGCAATGGAACGTCTGTCACAATGGCAAGCTCTATAAATCTGCAGTACTACTCGTACCCCAGCCTCGACTCACTTTGTCTGCCTTGGGCCCGAAAACTTTAATGGATATTAATCACAAATACAACAACCATAATTTATTTTCCCTTCTTTCTGCGCTAATAACACTCGTCTACAAAATTCGAGCTCCATCGAGATGGCACTGCTGATAAATCTATTTTTTATTTTATTTTACGATATCTTGAAGGCTGAAGGTCGAAGCTAGAAATGTACCTTTTAATTATATTATATGCATGTACTAGATGTGGGATTTCTTTCAACCATACAATATCAGCTCGATAAGTCGTAGCTTAGAAATTTTAGCTTCTCAGTGCAGCTTACTTATTTGTGCTTGTTCAGTCTATACAGATTTTATTCCAGGAGGATGAAATAATAGAGCCAATTAGTTCTGGGATACATTGTTCTTTTACTTCCTGCATTTCTTATTTCTTCGAATTTTTTTTTGAAAATACTTACCCATGCTGAGTAATTTGAAATTTTTGGCTAAGAAATATTAAAATCAATAAAACCGCTGTAATGGCTTGTAGCATCCGAGATTTTGGATGTTTGTCGTCTGCATTTATGCTTTGATGTCGGGAAATATGAATAAATAGCGTACTTCCTCTTTCTGAGACGAGTTTCTTTCAAACTTTTTTCCTTAACCAACTTGTATCTGAAACATACTATAAGTGTACATACTTACCGATATTTACTGAAATCGCAATCCTCTTGAACAGTGTAAAAAATACCTTGAGTTTCTTTGAAAACATTTTATTTTTGATTTCTTTCGCTATTAAAAACTAATTTCTTTTTATCAGACAAATGCTTAGGCACTCTACATAGACTTAATTATTATTGATATCGTAACATTTTTTACAGCTTTGCTAAAAGGTAGAAATTAAATAGCATCACAAGTGTGCAGAAGAAAAGGCTTGTGAGTTCGTTTTTAACTAAAACCTAGCACGGATCGCATTGAACTTTTTATAAACTAAAACATTTACAAAAAGTCATTAAGACTATAACTAACTTTTTACAACTTCCTACAACTCGCTCACTTTGCATTCAAGTTCAACTTCAAGTTTATGTTATGGATATGGATTCTTGATTCGAGAGTATGGGAATGTGATGGGAATGGGAATGGAAGCAGACATGCGATTCTCGTTTACTCGTAATGTTGAAGTGCACTTGGTATGTTTCTTTAGGCTACAAACTAGTCGTACATACATTACTATATATACTATATACTATTTTTATGATGATGAAATGCTTATATCTTATGGCTGGCTGTTGTCTGTTCGTTTGTTTGAGCAACTAGCGAAAATTTCAGAGAGTCTTTGTTGGCTTTGTGTAAGTGTCTCATTTTCCTTATTGTGGTGTATAAACAAATACTAATCTATATATACAATTACTTTTACGGTGAGTATTTAATGTTGTATGTGTGTGTGTGTGTCTGAGTTTAATATAAAATGTGGGTGGGTGTGCATGGGTTGTAAGTAATACTAGGCCTGTACAACTGCGTCTGCTTAGGCGCTTTATTCACGAGTCAAATGGATTGAAGCTGCTTTATTATCTTAAATTAATAAGGAAAGGAAGAAAAGTGACTCGTGTAAATGGGCCTTAAGGCAAGCCGTCTGGGCTCTACACTACGCTATTAAATGTGATCACGGTTTTGGCGTTTTCTCTGGGCTGGCGTCCCTGCTACATGCGCGTTCCCACATTGTTGCGTTGACTTGGTTGCGGCGCATGTCGGGGCATCGAAACCATATGGTGCGTCGTCGTCGGACCACCCAGGGGCGAAATGGATGGCGAGCGGGTGGCCAGCGGGGATAGCGAAGGCGAGAAGCTGGGTGACATGGCCGATGAGGTGCTGAACCCGGTCGTTGCGTCATGACTAATGGGTGAGCGGGGCATCAGATTGTTGCCATTCATGCTAAGATGATGTGCTGCGCCGGGTGGTAGCCGGAGAGCGGCACCATTTCCTAATACTGGCAAGTTGATGGCCCGCGGCGCCACATTCGTAAGCAGGGGCGGTGGTATATGTGGTTTCAGCACCACACTGCCCGCCAACGATTGCTTGCTTTTGGCGCTGGACGACGCACCACTATGGCCACTGTGCACGGACATGGTGTCGTCTTTCAGTCTTGCTATCTCCGAGAATACATGCGCCAGCGGCTGGTACTGGGGTCCCCAATCGAGCAGATAGTCCCAATTGTAGCTGCCCGCCAGCACCTCCTCGCTGTGCACAATCGAGCTGAGGGAGCCATTCATCGGTGGGCCCACATTGTTGCCGCCCACAACCACAGGCACTTCGCCATAGCCAATGACATGATCGACGGCGGTGCCAATGCTGCCCGCAGTAGTTGCTGCATCATCCGCACTGCTGCCCCGATCCGAGGCGGCTCCGGTCACATCATTTAGCTTCGCGTATATCAGATTCGTAATGTCCGAGCGCGCTGTGGCGTCTTCATCGAACATGTGCATGGGCATGGGCAGGGGGTGGTGTATGTGGGATTCCTTGTTGGAGCCCGCCATGCTCTCAGAGCAGTGGCGAGAGGAATTCGACGCACCACCATTGGGATCGTGATCCACAATGCCCAGGCGTGCCAAGTACTCCTGTGTGTTCTGAACAGATATATCCGAAATGCGTCCATCGTCGCTACCGCTGCCCGCAGCACCAGCTCTATGATGCAGTGGGCCACCCTCGTTGATCATGCGGATTTCTTCATCTTCGCCGTCGTCCTCCGCCGAGCCGCGTCCACTTGAGCCCGACTGCTCGGAGCCGGAAAGCTCTGAGGTCGTGGCAGCGCCCGAATTGGAGCTGCCAGCGTGTGGCCCATAGGGTGGTATTTCATCGTACTTAGGTGGTGCAAATTGTCCAGTAGCCACGCCTGCTCCACTGCCGCCGCCCGTAACAGCGTTGGCGCCCACACCCACGCCACCGCCACGCATTGGAATGGTGTCGAAGGCACTGGGGTCCACATAGCTGTTCGAATTTCCCACTGTATCGCTGCTTAGGCGCGGCTTCACCACATTGCGGGGCTTTCGGCTGCGCATGTGCACAAATAGGAAAATGCCAGCGGCGGCGCATAGTACAAGCAGGAAAGCAATGAGGAGGCCCAAGGCCCAGTCGCTTAGAGAGCCGCCGCTTGCACCGCCCCCGCCAATGCCGATGGTGCTGGCCAAATTGGTGCCAGGGTCCGCTAGCGGGTCCAAAGAAATCTCCACCACCGTCATGTTCGTCAGCGAATTCTGCCGGCCCGACGAGGCCGAGATGACCAAACTGATATCGCGGCCGTCATCGAAGTTGTCGTCCAGCTTTCGTTTGATGAGAACCGCACCATTGGTGCGATTGACCTTAAAGTATGCATGCGGTGCGCTTAATTGGTAGACAACACGTCCATCTGGCCCCCTATCTGCATCTGTGGCCGTGACGCGGCCCACAACAAAACCAAGCGGCAGGTAACCTGAGGCAGCTGCCGATGGCGTTGGCAGCACAAAGCGATATGTGCGCTCCGTGAACTGTGGCGTGTACTCGTCCCGAGAGTCGATTTGAATGCGCACGCGCACCCGCGCCTCCTGTCCCCCCACATCGCTGGCGTGCAGCTGGAAATCGTACCGCGATCGCTGCTCATAGTCAAACACTGCCAGCGAGGTGACAATGCCTGTTTGTGGGTCTACGCGGAACAGCTTCCAAGAGATGTCATCGCTCTTGCCCTCCACAATGCTGTAGTTAAGACGTCCAAAGGGGCCGCGATCCAAATCACTTGCACGCGCCGTAAACACTGAAGTGCCCACCGGCTCGTTTTCACCCACAAACTCCACATATTCGGCCAAGGGGAAATGGGGCGCATTGTCGTTCTCATCGTGCAGCTGCAACCGGAACGTTTTCAGACTGCACAGAGGCTGTGGAGCGCTGTCACAGGCACGTATAATTAGCTCGTAGCTCTTGGCACCCGTATCAAAGTCCAGCTTATTGTTTACAAACAACACACCGCTGACCAAGTCAATGGTAAACATATGCTCATCATTGCCCGAAGTAATGTCATAGACCACCTCTGAATTGGGTGTGTTCTCTTGATCCTCGTCTATTGCCAGCAGTTGGGCAATCGAGTAACGTAGCGGCGCCAACTCGCTAATATTGGCCTCGTATTTGCCACTGGGATCAAACTCGGGTGCATTATCGTTCGCATCTAGGACAGTGACAAAGACATCGATTGCCGCCGCACTAGAGTTGCCACCATTCCCGGATAGTTGCTGTTGCTGCTGCTGTTGTTGCTGCTGTGAGTCAATCAAGACCAAACGCAACTTGTAGAGATCATTGCGTTCGCGATCTAGTGGCTTAACCAACACAATGGCCTTTGACTGATAGAGCTCGAAGACGCCATCCTCGTTGCCAGCAACAATGCTGAACACAGCGTTGCCCAAATCGGCGCTGCTATCCAACACATCTTTGCTAAGCTGAAGGACCACAGTGCCCAACATCGCATCTTCGTCGATTTGTGCCCGATACTGGGTCTGCAGAAACTGTACGTGCGCGGCATCATTGCCACTTGGTTGTACGCGCAAAGTTGTGGCGCCTCGTAGCTGCGGCTTGCCAGCATCCTGAGCCAACAGCTGCATAAAGTAGTCCCCGCTGCCGGATACTCCAGTGCTTGACAAGCTGCTCATATTCACAGACACTATGCCCGTTTTCGGGTGCACGCTGAATCCCGACAACGGTGGTGCAATGCTGTATCGTATCTCCGAGTTGCGACCCTCGGCGTCCGCATCCGTGGCATTTACTTGCAACAACTCTATATCCGTGGTGGACAAGCCATCAAGCTGATCTGTGGAAACGGCCGGCAGTATGGCAAAGTAGGCAGGCGGATTTTGTGCTTGGAACATGGGTGCATTGTCATTCTCATCGCCCACCCGCAAGGTGAGCATTGTGCGTGCTTCGTGCGCCTCGTCCGAGGCTATAATCTGCAGTTGATGCTCCTGCTGTAGTTCGTAGTCCAAGTGTCGTTTGAGCACAACTTTTCCGTTGTAGCGATCAATGGAAAAGATCTCTAATTGCTCCTCTTCGATGCGGGAGTCGGCCCCCAGACGATATGTTAGCGTTGGAAAGGTGTCCACATCGTTGGCAGAAATTGAGGCGATTACCGTGCCCAGCTCTGTGCCTGTAGATGAAATTGAAAGTTTGGAGAGGGAAGAGAGAAATATATGAATTTAAGAAGGTTAAGAAAGGCTCGAAACTATTCAGGAATGTGATAACCCGAAACCATACTAATATACATATTTCAACTGAAGTCCTTTGTAAGAAACTCTTATAAAAACTAGAATATATTTTTGAGTTTTATGTATGAAATAATTCCACTTACCCTCACTAACGCTGACCATATTGTTGGGTGGAAACGTGGGCTGATTGTCATTAACATCCACAATTTGCACATGTATGGTTGCTGTGCCTGTCAGCTGTGGCACACCCTCATCCGTTGCAATAACCTTCAGGCTATACACGTCGCGTATCTCCCGATCCAGTACAATATTTGTCTTTACAATGCCACTGAAGGCGGGCTCAATGACAAAGGCATTGTCATGATTGCCATCCACAATGTGATAGCGTAGACGCGCATTTGCCTCGGCATCCAAATCATAGGCCGTCACCTGCACTACAAAGGTGCCTTTGCTCTTGCCCTCCCAGGCTGTGGCCACAAACTGTTTCTGCGAGAATTGTGGACTATTGTCATTCTCATCTTCCAGCTCCACAATTAGTTCCGAATAGCAGGTGAGCAGGGGAGAATCTGCGCTTTTGGCCACCAGAACCAGATGGAGCTCATTGGGCTGTTTGTTGGTCAGAGCGAAGGAGTTGCCATGCAGGGCGCGCTCACCTCTCGTGCTGCTGGCATTCGTTTCTGGTTCTGCATGCTCCAAAACCTCCTCCTCATAATGCATAGCACGAGCCCGACTGTTATCCGCGAGGGTAGCAATCGTATAGCGATCGAAGTCCAGCAATGCTGCATTGGCCACTCGCAGCTCACCGCTGAGAGCATCGATGGAAAATATGCCATCCTCGTTGCCCGCACCAATGGAGAAACTCATTTTCTGCTTACGACCGTCACTTCGTAGAGCATTTACTTGCAAGAGTCGAGTGCCCGCTGGCGAGTTCTCGCGCAGCTTTACGCGATAGGTTTCATTTTGGAAACGCAGCTCAGGCAGTTCGCTGGGAAGCTCCCCGACCAACAGTTCGATTAGTCCTACTGAGCTCTGTGGCGGGTTACCCTTGTCCCTGGCTATCACCTCTAGTTGCAGCAAACGACCGGCTTCGCTGGCCAAACTTTGGGTGGCACTTAGAACTCCAGTGTTCGGATTAATGCGGAATTTACTTCGAGTGGTCGCTGTGCTAAGTGTGCTGTCCACTTTGAGGGCATATAGCACCTCACCGCTTGGGCCCAGGTCCGCATCATGGGCCTGTACCTGGACCAGCATCTGCCCGGGCTGTATGAGGGGTTGCACCTGTGCTTGGTACGGGTAGCGTTCGAAAATGGGTCGATTGTCGTTCACATCGTCCACATTGATTTGCACGGCCACATTGGCAGAGCGTACCTCATACCGACCACCATCGTGGGCGAACACCATAAAGTTGAAGCTGGGCTGTATCTCCCGATCCAGTTGGCTGTGAAGGAGAAGATAAAAATAAATGCTTGAAATAACAATGCGAGTATTTATGTTCGCCCTCTATCTAAGACATTCTTTAGCATTAGCTGCCGATATGCCAATTACCATCTGCGAGAGTTCACTCTGGAGGAGAGCAGAGTGAAATGCAAGCAACGAGGCGCGAAATGAACAAATGATTAATAGTTTAGGAAGTTAAGCTTTTAGGGGTTAGCTAATAGGGCGCCAACTATGCGACACTAATGACTGTTCCCATGCATAATCCAAGCACAATTAAACACACGATCACGATTTAATGTGCCATTGATATAAGCCAGGAGAGTCCAATGGGAAGATGGAGGTAGCGGGAGAGCGGGTGAGAGAAAGACATGTGCATGGGTAATTAAGTCATTTGTTTGGCGTCTCAGTACAAACATGCCCTGGCGGCATACACACACCGTCGACCTGCCAGGCACTGATGCAGTCAGGGAGCCCAATCATTGCAACAGCTGCTCGTGAAATGCACTTCTCAAACTACACGCTAATCCGCTGGCGCATGCACAAATGCCTGACCATTCAAGCCACCTACCCCAGCCAGCCCAATCTACGGCCAAAACTGAACAAGTTTAGTGCCTGGCTGGCAGGCTGTCTAGAGTTGCTTGAATGCCTCGCTGCCTTGCTGCCTGGCTGCCTCGCTGCCTGCTTGCTGTTTGCCTGCCGCAAATAATAAACTAAAATGATTACAATCCTGGCCAGCGTCCATTTTCGTTCTTATTGCACAGCGTGCTTGCTGCTGTTGTTGTTGTTGTTGCTGTTGCTTGTGGTTGCATGTTGGCCAATAAAACGAATTTAGCAAATTACAAGCTCATCCAGCTCCATGTTGCTCTTGCTCTTGCTGGGCAACATCAGCAAGCAAGCAACCAACGACAGCAGCAGGGTCATTTTATGAATTGAATCAGTCAAAGTGAAGGAAAGGCAGCCACAGCCAGAATACCAGTAAGAGCAACAACAAAACCAGCAACAAAAATGCTTTCAAGGGTCAGTCAACATGGTCTTGGTCTTGTCGCTGTTGCTGTTGTTGCTGTTGCTGTTGCAGCTCTGAGGCTGCTTTCGTTGGCTTGTTGCCCGCTGATCGTCAGACGAACATGCGAGCCTGGCATTGGCATTGGCACTGGCACTAGGCCGCTCCGCCTGCCGCCTGAAGTCTGTCTTCTGTTCTCGTCTCCTGCAGCTTGTCCATCAGTCAGGCTAGGCGTCCAGTTTTAGTCTTGTATGTATGTTACACACACACACGAATATATTTAAAAGAAGAAGAAGAAAAAAAAAACTAGTGAAACGAGCAACAGCAACAAGAAAGCGGCAGCAACATTTTTGCTTTTTTCAAGCGTCCCAATGAGTACGACTATTGCCCGACCAAGATCAAGACGAAGACTGCGACTGCGACTGAGACTGAGACTAACAACAACGTCACGAATTGTTTGTTACTGCTCTACAATTCTCTGTGCCATTACCTTTGCTTGTTGTCTCATTTCCCTCCCTCGCTGCCTCGAAACCCCCCCTTTTTCAGTTGGGTTCTCTGTTCGTTTCTGCTCTGGTCTGTTCTGTTTTTTTTTTTTTTTTTTTGTTTTTGTGCATTTCTGGGCAGGATTTCGTTTTTATTGTTTGCCGACAATCAGCGCAAGATAAAAATTGGTACATGACAGCGGATCGCGTTTGTATAAATGGCAACACTGACGACGCTGACGCTACTGTCAAGTTCAAGTGCGGCAGTCCCTGCTGCTGCTGCTGCCGCTGCTGTTCGTTCCAACAATCTTTCACTGCCTGACTGACTGACTGCGGGACTGATGGACTCACGCGTCGACTGACTGACTGACTAACTGACTGACTGGCTGGCTGGCTGACGCTGTGCTGCACATTCCGGAACTGGGCAGCAACCCCTACAGTCAGCCAATGGCTCTGCGGCCAAGTCGTAGGCTGTCTCGCGGAACAAGCAATTGTTGTCATCATTGATTGTCAATAAGCATAAATTTGCACCAGAGGGGGCCTGGCCTGGACGAAGCGACAGCATCGACAGCACCGACAGCAACAACAGCAGCAGCAACAAAAACTCGAAAATTATTTTTATACATTGACAAGCCGACTTACTAGTGCGCTCTTAACTCATCGGGATACCCTAGGATCAAACTATGCTGAAGTTAAATGGAAGTTTCAAAAATTAGTTTAAAGGAATATCTTTCGCATTGAATGCGTAAGAGAAATAAATTTAATTATTTTATATTTTATTTAATTTCTTGAAGGTCGAGTCTTGTGTTGCAGCAAACGAAGAAATTAAAACAATTTGTTATTAAATCAACAGTATGGATAATCAACCAACAAGCTGTACCTATTGAACGATTTGAGCGAGTTTTGAAATGCTGTGCAATAATTGGAATATTTTAATCCGAAAAACTTTGCTTGAAGGTGCATATCCAATTAATTTCATTTGAAGAATATGTCTAGCTCTATTTTCCCTAAGCCCTTCCTCACAGCTACTATCAAGTAAAGATGCCCCTTTCTGGCTAGAGTATTCCAAAAAGACAGGGCCAACCCTTTTTTGTGCGTATACTTTGCAGTTGGACACACACACAGCCTGCAGAGATTGGAGACCCCATAGCTATTTATAGGAATGCGTGCGCGACTGTCTGCACTTTTTGCTATTGGCTTTGGCATTGGTTCTACGTACTGCCATGGCCTCATGTCGCAGAAGGCGGCAGCCCTGGCCCTGGGCCATAACATTGTCGCAACGCGTAGGCTGTGGTTACTCGCATTAGTCGATGTTCTTATTGATGAAATTATTTGCAATGTTTGTGCGTCCTTGCGCCAAGATTTAGCCGGCAGATAAGATGCTGTCAATGCATTGACCGCACCCAACATCCTGCCCAAAAACTAAAACAAAAACCACAACGAAATACTGGTATTTATGCAAAACTCACCCGACAGTCGTGATGACGCCGCTCTTGCTGTCAATGGCAAATTGCCACTGAGTCTCGTTCGCCAGAGCATAGATGAGGCGGGCATTGGCGCCCAAATCTGCGTCGCTAGCCTTGATGCGCACCACACTGGTGCCAATGGGCGCGTTCTCGGGCACACTGGCCACATATTTGGGCAGCTCGAATCGAGGATCATTATCATTCTGATCCTCGACGAAGACGCTGATGTTGCAGTGTCCTTGATAGCTGGTGGGCTGACCGCGATCCGAGGCCTGCAGCTGTAGTGTGTAGCGTGTGTGTTGCTCACGATCTAGGGAGCGGGCACTCAGCGCTCCAGTTAGAGCATCAATGCTGAACTTGTTGCCCACATTGCCACCTGTGGAGGACAAAGAAGAATAGGAAGCAAATTGTAGTGGGTGGTGCAGTAGAACTAAGAAAGACTCCCAATTTCGGGTCATACTAAGTAGTAGTTATTTAATTTAGTTTTGTGTGGATAATTAACACTTACCGATTATGCTGTAAACGATTTCTGCATTGGCGCCCTCATCCAAATCCGTGGCCACCACAGTGTGTATGACTGACATTTCGCTGTTTTCGGGCACGGCCAGACCGTAGCAGGAGCCCGGTCGAAATTCAGGTGCATGATCGTTCACATCACCTATGGTGATCACAATTGTGGCTATATCGAATTGTCCATTCGTTGCCTGACCCGCCGAGGAGCGTTGCTTGCGAGCAGCAGCTGCCTGCGAACTGCTGGCCAACCGATTCAGATCGCGCACATAGATGGGTAGCGTGTAGCGGGCCTGCAGCTCACGATCGAATTGACCGCGTGTGGTCACAATACCGCGCTGCCAGTCCACATGAAAATGATTATCGGCCGCGCCGGGTGGCAGCTCGTAGCTGAGATTGGCTGCAGCGAGAAAGAGAAGCGGGGAGAGAGAGAGAGAGAAGGTTGGGGTATTGAAGCAGGGTAGGGATACAACGATTTGTGTTAGATCGACTTACCACTCTCGCCATGAAATGCTTTAGCCGTCACCTGCAGCACAAAGCTACCGCTGGGCGTATTCTCCAATATGGTGGCCTCATACACAGACTGCCCGAAGCGTGGCGGGTTGTTGTGACTGCCCTGGACGAGCAGCTGAAGTGTGAGCAGCGTTTTCTTGGGCACCGGTGCGCCATGATCACTAGCGCTTATCACGAGACTGAAGCGGCTGTGCGATTCGGCATCGCTGGCCGGCGGCAACGTCTTGGCCAGCTCGATGATTCCTGTCTGACTGTTGATATGAAAGTGTCCGCCACTGTTGCCACTGACAATGTCATAACTAATTCGTCCATTGTCGCCAGCATCGGGATCGATGGCCACGATGTGTGCCACCAGTTCCCCAATGCGCATGCCATCGCTGAGATAAATTGAGGCCGCCTTGGCTCCATTTGTGGCAGGTGCCACGAACTTCGGGGCATTATCGTTGGCATCGGTAACCTGCAGACGCACCGTCACAGAGGTTTGCAGGCGTTCAGTGACATTCGAGGACTGGTCCAATGCCTGCACAATGAGGATGTACTTCTCGATCGACTCGTAGTCTAGAGGAGCGAGCAAGCTAAGCGACCCCGTGTGCGCATCCACAGCGAACTGTTCGATGCTGTCGTTCAGATTCGGCGTATAACGCAGCAATTTGTATTGCAACTCTCCATTCGTGCCCGTATCCGCATCGCTTGCCGTGAAGTTGTATATAATCTCACCCACAGGCATATCCTCGCGCACTCGCAAGTCAATGGGGTCCTGGGCCCATGTTGGCGCATTATCATTCACATCAGCAATTTCTATCTTGACGGTGATGGCGCTGCTCTGTGGGTTATTGCTGGCTGTAGTATCCAAGGCGCGTATTTCCAAGCGAAACTCCGACTGCAATTCACGATCCAATTGACGAGCTACCACCAAACTACCCGTATGGCGATCTATGTCGAAAGCACCCTCAATGGCGTCCTTGGTCAGAGGATTGAGCGTATAGGTAACAAATAGCTGACTATCCAGGGTGCGCGACTGCTCGGCGCGTTCGTTGGGTGCCAAAGAACCAACCACTTGGCCCACGTTCGCATCCTCGCGTACCTGTGCGCACAAATAAAAGTGGAAGGCAATTATAGATTATTTTAAGTTGCGAAAGGGTCTGGGAGACTGAGGGTCAATCTCTTGGCAGAAAATACTGCCAAACTGACTGGCCGTGTCCGCGTCTGCGTCCGCGTCCGCGTCGTATCTTAATCTCAACAACAGTGTTGAAAATCCAATCTTAAAGCAATAATTCATACTTCAAGATTACGAAGGCAGCAAACATTTAAAAATTTCATTCGTTGCCAGAGACGCGACGACGCACAGCGCCCAAAGCTTCCCAGGCAAGGACGGTAAACAGAAAAAAATTAATACAAGAAGAAAAAAAATAACAACGCAAAGCAAACGACAACAGAAAAAAAGCGGGAGAGGTAGCGGCTTCGCTTGGCAATGGCATTAAAAAGAAATTATGCATTCCGACCAAGTTGGCGGCCCCAAAAATCAGCGAAGAAAAATGTGAGTCAACTGGCAGACAGTGGTCTCCGGCAAAGGGGAAAGAGATAGAGAGAGAGATAGAGAGAGAGGAGAGAGAGGGAGAGAGATACACTCATATAAGAATTTAATATGCAAAACCGCAAAAACCGTTTCTGAGCATAAAACAAGCATGGGCCTTACCTTTGCCCACAAAAAGCAAAGGCTGAAAGGCCGGCAGAGCAGCAGAGGAGCAGAGAGAGAGGAAGCCTTGCATTTTGGTAGCCAAAGACAAAGTGAAAGATGTCCGGGAGTGTGTATATGTATGGTTTTTTTTTTCATCTTCTTTTATATAACATTGCAAATATTGTTTGGCTGCACCAAAATGGAGACACAAAAATGACAGTCAAGAGATTTATGCCTCGACAAAGATTACGCAGTGCGTTGGGCACATCAGAAGCTGCTGCTGCGGTTTCATTTCGGCTTGCCAAATTATGCACGGAGGAATTGCAGCCAAAATGGCGCATGATTTGTTGTGCACTTTTGTGGGCATCTTAACCCTTTTGCAGATATTTGAGTTTAAAAAAAAAGAAGCAACTCCATCGGAAGTAATAATGTAATTATTGAACGCAGGAGCTTTCTGTCTGACAAACCTCTAGACCAGCAAATTAAGCTTCTTGCTCTGAACATTATAGAATCCTGATGTTTGAAGGGTTTCATTAATGGATCATGGATATAACTCCAACAGAAACGATCGAAATGGACACAAATCGTGTCATCATAATCGTTAAAGGGGCTTGGGTTAGTTAATGGCTTAAAGGGTTTTTTTTTTACACAGCCCAACTGGACTACAAAAGGCATATGTTTTAAAAGCAACACACCTCTCTTCATCTGTTCCACCTAATTCCTCCGCAAGTGAATCTCTTTTAATTAGCTATATATTGCCTTGCTGTTGTCGATTAAATTGTCGCAAGTCTAAGAAAACACAAGTCTCCCAGGAAAAGCGGTTCATGCTTAATGCAATTTCCGAAGCTATTAGTGCGTACTGATTGGGCAAGCACAAGGGTTAAGCATTAAGCAGCTTACTCTTGGACTTCACAATCCCACAGTTCGCTCTTGCTCAGAGCTTAACCGCATCATTTGCTTGCGGGGAATTGCTTAATTACGCCATATGCGCATTATGTGGCGCAGATTTATTTGCGAAAATGCGTTGTCGTTCACGTCCTAAGAGTAATTGGCCAAAAGGAAGCGTGCGGGCCACGCCAACGCACACACATACTCACACACCGTCGAAGTAAGAACAAAGAGCCTTTACTCGTATAGGAATGGCCAAGCAGAGGCGCAAAGAATTCAAAGGCAAGCCGCTTGCCAACTGCAGCTGTGTGTAGTCGCGAACGCAACGAAATGTGTCAATTTTAATTGTGGCCGCAGCGGATTTAAGGGCCCCATACATGACAGGGGCAGAGCGCTGGAGAGCTGGAGAGTTGGTCCGACAAGCGAGTTGAGCTGAGCTGAGCTGAGTTGAGGCGAGTTGAGTTGAGTTGAGCGTTGTGTCTGGCAAGGCAATTAAATGCATGTCAAAGCGTCGCAGGCGTCAGCGGCCAAGCTCGTGAGCTAGTATGGGTTTGTCGGCATGTGTGTGTGTGTGTGTGTGAGTTTGAATGTCGGAAATGCTCGGCGAATGATGAGCAGCAGGACCAAGATGATGATCGTGCTGCTGCCGCTGCTGCTGCTGCAGATGATGATGAGTGCAGGGTATGCAAAACATGTGCGAATCGAACGTGATGAAAATGTTAAAGACGACGCGACGCGTCTGTGCCGAAAAAAAGAGAAGACAAAAGACGAAATATTCTAAGCAGTGCCACGGACCAACGGACCAAGTAACGTTGCGAATCGCACTTAATGGAAAGCTGGGAAGGGAACGCCAAGTAGAATTGACGACGATGACGATGACGACGCAGAGGACCAGCAATGTCAGAAGTGACAATTACATGACGCTGGCACGACACTTGGCATACCCATGAAGCTCACTCCCACGCCTGCGCGCGCACGTCTGACGTTTGCTTCCGAGCTGTTAAGTAGCAAACAGTCAGTCCCAAGTCCTAGGCAGAGACAAGCCCATGGCTCTGAGGCTGAAAGTCGTGTTCTTGACTATTGTCACGTGATGCTACAAATCATTTGCCTAGCCAACACCAAGTACACACACACAACGCCGACAATGCGCGACAAACGCGCAACTCACGACATCGTGTAAAACTGGAAGCATCAAATGGACAAACGTTGCTGTTGTTTTGTTTTTGTCTTCTGCTTCTTCTTTCTAGGAACTGCTAGAGAGCTCGCTAGGACCATGACCCCGCTATAAATCTACCACTCACCCGGAACACTAAACTGGAGCTGGTGAACGTCGGTCGATTATCGTTGAGATCCAACACCTCCACTCTGAGCATGCGCAGCGTTTGCTTTGGCGGATTGCCGCCATCTGTGGCTGCCACGGCCAGGCGATAAATGCTTCGCTCCTCATGATCCAGAACCACACGCGTGCGTATGACACCAGTATTGGCATCGATGCCAAACAGCCCGAAGCCATCCGAGTCCCGTCCCTTCAGTATGGAATATGTGATGGATGCGTTTTGGCCATTATCCCGATCTATTGCGCGTATGCGAACCACCTCAGTGCCCGGCGGTTGCTCCTCGCGCACGCTCACCACATCCTCCTGAGGATCGGCGATCTCTGGCGCATTATCATTCACATCCGTCACATGCACTTTGATGGGGACGCGGGCGCTGCGTGAGGGCGTGCCCTGATCCCGTGCCTCCACCAATAAATCGTAGAGAGCACGCAATTCGCGATCCAGAGGCTCGCGTGTGCTTATCTCGCCTGTAAGAGAAAGAACAAGAGCAGGAATTGCAGTGTGAGTGAAAAAGTGGTGGGAAATGGTGTCAGCAGCAAATGAAACTTTCCATGCATTCAAGCAAAACATCAAATTTTACATGCGACACGGTGGGACTAAGTTGCAAAAGGGGCAACCAGAAAAAATTCTACAAAGGTGAACACCTCATCTCTACTCTTAAATGAAGTCTAGTGTTCTATTTTTATATGATTTGTATAAATAAAGAATTAGATTTGAGTAGTTGAGATAATCTTATTATAGAAATGTTTTGGCTGCTTTCTTTTTCTTTCTATTATAAGATAATAATTGGACTTGTGGTCTAGCACTAGTCAGAGTTCCCCCAGAGGCCTAACAGAACTTGGATGGGCATGGAACCATTTTGATCAATGTTGTTGAGATAATCTTTCTGGGTTCGTTGTCTAAGAAGTGCTATATATTACATAAATATTTTTGATGCTTTCTATTTCTCCCTAATCACAGCAGCTGCGACTGAAGTCTTTGTGAGACGTTTCAAAAATGGCGTCGTAATCGAAGACAGCATACCCCACGAATATATGGAAAGTGATCGCTAAATAACAGATTGTTCTTCCATAGTACATTGTGAACTTTTTCTGCGGCTCTCAATCAAGCGGAAATTGCAGATTTTGTAAAATTTTCAGAACCACAACAGCGACAGCAGTAGAGGCGGCATAGCCTGGACCCAATCGTCTAACTATTGTTCTAGTCTGCATAGAAAATGTGTCTTGGATTTGGGTCGCACATGATTAATGCACAGGCAACGACTTTGGTGCAGGCCATCAAAATTCTATAGCTGGCAGCGAAAAAAGAAAATCATGTCAGTGCCAAACCAGTTTTCCCAGTTTCCCTAACTGCCGCCGCTGTTGCTGCTTCTGCTGGTGGTGCTGGAGCGCCAGGATTAGACGCACGCGATTTCCATATTTAATTTAAATGAGTCAATGCGGCTGAACCAGCAGCAGCCGGTTATTGTGGTGGATGTGGCCCCCGCCATGGACACGCACACAGTGGCCAGAAAATGTCAACCCAATGATATTCCATTGACGGATGAGCTGACAGCGTTAAAACTGTTGTTGCTCAAACACTAATGGTCATGCGCGCCTGCTGCCGCTACAGATGCTGCTATACGTGTACTCGAAAGAGGCTGCCGGCTGCCGGGGCTTGAGAGCGTATCGCAAACAGATCGCATTTTATCGCTGCCCCATCGTTGCCTGCTGCCCCAATGTGGTCACCTTGGCCTGAGTCTCTGCCTGCGGAACAGGTTTTCTGCCCGTTTGATCTATGGGCGACAGCACGAGCAGAAGCCAAGCCAAGCCAAGTCCAGCCAGGCCGATGCTAGAGCAGCAGCAACAAAGTGGACCAGTAATGAATGACCGTGGGTCATGGCTGTTGGCTTGACAGTTGCTGCCGGCGGCAGTGGCAGCCACCGCCACCGCTGGTGCCACTACATTGGCCACGATCAAGTCAGCCAGCGACATTGAGTGAGTTGTTAGAAATGGGTGCGCATGTCGTCTCCACCCTCCACCCAGCACCCGTCGTTCCCATCTTCTACTCGTAGTGGCCCGCCAACACAAAAGTGACACTAATTTATGTTAAAAGGAAGCACATAAAGAAAGCAGCAGCGCCTGAGACTCACCTGTAACCGTATGCACTTGAAAGCTGGAGTTGCTCGGCATTAGACTGTAGCGTATGGTTGCATTCTCGCCCAGATCCACATCACTGGCACGCACCAGCCCCACGACAGCACCTCGTCTCAGATTCTCCTCGATGTGAAACTCATATGCGGTGCGCTCGAAACGCGGATCATTGTCATTGACATCGAGGACATTGATTAGAACCCGCGTCTGCGCGTGCGCCGGTGGTGTTCCATTGTCGGTGGCCAGCACGGTCAGCTCGTAACGATTGCGCGTCTCGCGATCCAATGTGGAGCGCAAATATATCCAGCCGCTGTTGGGAAATATGCCGAAATGTTGAGCTACATCCGAATCCAGGCTGGTCGCTTTCGTGACATTGTCGGCACCCGCGTCCACAATCCGATACGTGATGCGTGCATTGTTGCCCGTGTCCAAGTCAACGGCATTCACCTGAATGAACTGTCGGGGAGATAGAAGAGAGAGAGGGAGAGAGAAGATTCGTCTGAGTTAAAATTCACTTGGCAATTTAAAAGCTAGAGCAACAACTGGCGGCAATCTTTTGGTTTCTTTGGACTTCTATGGGCATCGGCACTTGCCAAATGCCAAACACGGTTGGCGGTCATCAATCATCCCAACGACTGCGGAGCATCGGAATCTGTGATGCATGTATGCGTAAATCTCTAGAGGAATCCCTAGAACTGCAGCCGCACACAGCTTAAGGCAGTGGCTTGATGCACAGTGGGTCAAGGGCATAAATACATGGCTACTCTCCTTAACTATAAATTTATATCTTTTTATGGACCGTTAATGGACGTATTCATGAAAATTGTAGGAGGCAAATAGTCGGGTTTGAATCCCCAGATTCGAGCATATTTGAGCGTCTATAAATCAACTATTCTTAACCACTGTACCCTGTCTATGGACCAGACGCACGATGCCAAAGATATGAAGTGATTTTATGATCAAAACTAGTTCAGCAGGCGGCACTGCCGGGCGAGCGGAGGGAGGGCGCTGATCGAGGTGGGCACGCGGACTTCGGCTGCAGTTACAGCAGCTGCTTTGACGTCGGCTCCACTCTTGGGTGTTGAGATATTTTAAACAAGATATGACGCCTGCCTGACAAAAGCGTGACTTTTAGTGGCTGTTAATCAAATTTATGTTGCGCATTTAGTTTGCATTACAAAAATCTATTTTTCAATAAAACACAGAAGGCAGTTGCCGCTCAATGCCGTCGATTCCGTCGATGCCGTGGCTGCTGAGCTGCTGAGCTGCTGATCTTTGCATAACAAGTTTTATGATGGTGCAGAGTCAGAGAGAACTTACCTGAGCATTGACCAGCAGCGATTCGAGCACATCCACCGTGTACTCATCGTGCTCGAATATTGGCGGATTGTCGTTGACGTCCTGCACATCGACATGAATGGTTAGATTGGCCGAGAGCGGCGGCATGCCAGCATCGGTGGCCGTTACAATTAACGAGTGACGCTGCTGCGTCTCGTAGTCCAGATGTCGTGATAGCACAAGGTGGCCCGAGCGTGCATCGATAGCGAAGAGCAGTCGCGCTGCTGGCGCTGCTGAGGTAGCCACTGCGCCGACTGACGTCAGCACTGTGGCACGTTGTGTGGCATTCTGTGAAGCTGGTGCTGTGGGCAACATGATCAGACTGTAGGTCACCTCGCCGCTGCGACCCGAATCCTTGTCCTGGGCATGTGCCGCATAGAGCGGCGTGCCAAGCTCTTGATTCTCGGGCACCGAAATGCGCACAAACAGCGCCTCGAACTCGGGTGGATTGTCGTTCACATCCTCTACCTCGATGTTGACCTGTGTGTGGCCATAAACGGGCGGTTCGCCACTGGTGGCCTGTATGTTGAGCAGCACCTGCGACTTGGCTTCATGATCCAGTGCCTGGGCGACACGTATACTTCCCGAGCTGCCCTCAATGCTGAAGTAGCCATCGGGATCGCCGGAGTAGATGGAATAGCGCACGGGACTGCGAGTGGCTGCAACTGAAGAACGGAAAGAAAGAGGAAGATCATCCATTAAAATGTTTCCAAAAAGTAAACGGATTGCTCGCTCATTAAAAGCCATTCAAGGTTCTCGAGTCTGCATAACAAAGGAGCGTATGGAACAATAGAACGAAACAAGCATTCGATGAACGAAAGACTAAAGATTGACACATGAGGCGCAGGAAGAGACGAGGCATTGAAAGGAAGTGCACAGCGAAAGCGGCAAATTAAAGCGCAAAATCATTTTGCATGGCCATCCGAGACTAAGTTGTCTCGACACAGAACCGGCCAAGTAAGGGGGATGTTTGACTAAATTTGGGCAAAAACAGCTTAAGAGCAGCGGTACGAAAAAGACAAGACAAGACATGGAATTAATATTTCTAAGTTTATGGAAATTTACTTAAATGTGCAATACATTTCCCAAAAATTTCATGATTTCTATAAAATACACCAAAATGAAAGATTGATAGTCTGTCTGTCTATAAGTATATGATTTGTACTTGTATATATTCGATTTTTAAAACTCCACCTCTATCGGAATTCAACTTCTTAAAAGTTCATTTAAAATGATGCATGAAACTTGAATTTCTTGAAGAAGTTAAAAAACTTGCTGATAAAATAATTAATATTAATATTAATGTAAAAGAATCTATAAAGCTGGTGTAATAAACGAAATGTAATGCATTTGCTTAAAAATACATTTCTATGTATGAATGCAACTTGCATTTAAATTATTTTAATTAATTAATTTTTTCATGCAATAAATTAAAGTAAATTAATTTTAAAAGCAGATATACAAATTTAAAAATCATGCTTTTGCATTCAAAATGCTTTAAAAATTATGAATGCGAGTTGAACTTCGTAAAGAAGAAAAATTAATTTTTTTGATGCAATAAATAAAATTAATAATTTGATTAAAGAAAAGAATCTTTAAAGCAGATACATTTTTTTAAAAAATGCTTTTGCATAGAAAATGCTTTAAAAATGTTAAACGTAACTTGAATTTCTTAAAGAAGAAAAATTAATTTTTAGCTGCAATAAATAAAATGAATCTTGCGGTTAAAGTAAAAGAATCTTTAAAACAGCTGTACACATTTAAATGTAATACTTCTGCCTGGCTTTTGCTTTGCTCTCGTGAAAGTTTTCTTTCGCAAACAGCTCAACATTTCGAGCCACCCTCGCTACACACACACAAGAAATGAACGTCATGTTGATGGGTGCAGATTTCTGCCGAAATTTGCGTTTGAAGTGCTTTGTATTTGGCTTGTATGCCAAAAAATGTGCTGAGGCCTCTTACGAGTATATGCTTTGCCAAAATTTTTATTTTTCTGTAAGTTGCGTTGTCTCTGTTTATTTTGTTGTTTTTTGTTTGTGCTGTTCCTTTTGGGTCCGTCATATGCGCATATTTTGTTTTCCAACTCACTGAACTAATGAATGCGTTCCAATGCAAAACGTGGCTCAGTGATGACACTGACGTTGCTCATGCCAACAACAACTGAACAGCAGAGAGAACAACGACTACGTCGAACAATGAGCATTGGGGAGACAAAAGACTTAGGCAACGAACTTGCAAAGTTCAAACTCTGCTTGTGTGTGTGAGTGTGTGTTTATTTGTTGGCACTCACCTGTATCGCTGCTTGTGGCTATAACCGTGCCCACCACCGTGCCCCGCGGCACATCCTCCTTCACATAATAGTTGTAGCGCGACTTCTCGAATATCGGCGGCCTCTGCGTGGCATCGATGATGCTCAGAAAGACTATCGCATCGCTGCTGCTCCTCAGACCTCCGCCATCGGTGGCCGATATGTTCAGCATGTGGATGGGCTGTGTGCGCACGGAGAGCATGTTCGGGCGATTAATAAATATTTCGCCACTTGCGCGATCAATGCGAAAAATGCCAGCCTCATTGCCCGCCACAATGCGATAGGAAACGAGACCGAAGCGTCCAGCATCCGGATCGGTAGCCACCACCGAGACAATGGGCGTGGCCGAGGCTTGGGCACTCGCCGATTCACGCAGGGATACATTGTATTCCCGTGGATAGAACACCGGCCGATTGTCATTCACATCCGTCAGCTGTATTTTGATCATCGCCGTAGTGCTAAGGCCGCCACGGTCGGTGGCCAGCACCGGAAACTCATAGCTGCTACGCTTCTCGTAGTCCAAAGGGCCGGCAATGCAAATTTCCCCCGAGGCGGAGCGCACCTCAAACTCGGTGAGATGTTTGAAGCCCTCGCCCAGCGTATAGTTGACCATGGCGTTGACGCCGCAGTCCGGATCGCTGGCCGATACCTGCAAGAGAGCAACGTTGAAAAAGATATGAGTACACTGAGAAAAAATTGAGTAAACACAATTAAGAAATGAAAATAATTAGGTTTAAGAAATTAATTAAATCCTAAAGTAGCTCCATTTATATGAATAAAGAATATAAATTTAGTTTTCTAGTAATATTTCAACACTTTCAAAAACTATTTACATTATCAGCTTAAAATCTTATGTTCTACAGTAACGATATAATAAGCTGTCTATGTATTTGTCTTTGTCGATGTATAGAAACAAACTATTCACTTAAGAACTTTAATTTGCTTACTCGCCAACAATTCTTCAATATAGTTCGTTATTTCAAGTGTATATACCCTTAACATTTATAAAAGTTGCTTAGGGCCTTTGTACGCTGTTAAAATGCCCAACAATTACAAATGAAGTTGTCAAAATTTTAATTTGATTTAATGGTATTGCCCGATCCTTTCCTTCTCTTTCATGTGGTTTATCGCCGCGTCTTTAATTAGCAAGAAATACCTTCAATTTTTTACGCTCTGTCCGCAGCTGGAGGGCAAACAATATATTCTCCAACTCGCGCATATCAAGCAAATGTCAACTTAAATTTTGACCAAAACACCCGCTACTGAAAAGGGCAGACGCGGCCTCAAATATGCAGAGGCCTTATGCCTCATCAGCATCATCATCATCTTTGTAAGGCAGATATTTTGAACATGTTTTCATGGCGGCTCTTACTTAATGGCTGCCAATTAGCTTGAATTTGCTTAATCAACATTTTCTTAATTTTTTTTTTCTTCTTACATTTTACATTCGACATTGGCGACAGGGCCTGTGCCTGTGCCTGCCTGTCTCTAGTCGTGTAGTCCGGCCAGCCCACGCCCGCCGCCCTATAAATAGCCCAGTGGGGGCAGCCAACGAGGCTGGCATTTTGACGCCAACGAACAACGAGAAAAATCAGCAATTAAAACTGTCATTATTTCACTTTAAATAGTGGAATCTTGAAGCAAGTAAAACAAACGAAGGCAGCAAAACGAAGACAAGACAAGCAAAATAGCACCAACAAAAACCAACTGCTACAGTGGAGCTGCATAATGGTGAAATCTGTTGCCACGCTCTGAAAAAACATAAGCAATTAATTTTTGCTCCGAAATATTCTGTGGTCGTTAGAAAATCAGAACTTTTTTTTACAATTCTAATCAAAGCTTAAGGTTGTTAGACAATTGAGCTTTGGAAATAATTTGTTTTACTGATTTGGAATTGTAACTATATGTTGCTTAGCATTTATTTATAGAAATGATCATGATCTAAAACAGCAGCAACATCCATAAAGAATCTATTTTGGAAAAAAAAAGCAATGAAAACTTTCGAAATGTCGTCTCTAATTCTCTCCCTTTCTAAATCACTTCAGCGCTGTAGTCGCTGTTTGTCAAAAATTCCTCATTGGCTAGTTCCTTTGTACCGATTGCTGCTGCCGGCTTCAAGGCGCTGGGTTCTACTGCAACATTGTCCGCCAGACTGATATGCATTTAAAGCGAAACGTGTCCACAAGCTGAGCCTCACGTTGAATTTCTGCGCTAATTACACTTTTTGTAAGCCAAAGGCATCGAACTGCTGATGTAGCTGCTGCTGTTGTTAGTGATGTTAGTGTTGTTGTTGTTGGCTGCCAGTCTGACTGTCTGTCTGTCTGTCTGCCTGTCTATAGTCTGTTCGACAGACTGGCAGAGATCTGCTTAGATTGCTGGCGTGCGGTGTCACTAAAGACTTTCATTAAACTTAGTTGGCAGAAGCTTAAACTCGTTTAACCCGCCGAGTGAAATTGTCGCCAGAGCCAAGAGCTATGGACGGGCACGACGTGGACGTCGTCGTCGTCGTCGTCGTTGTTGTCGTTGTCGTAGTCGTCGTCAGCAAAGGCTCAAACAGATTGGCAATTTTATCTGTCAACAACATTGAAATTTTGCAACTGTGTAAACGAAACACACGGCCCAAGCAGAAAACTTTGAGCGCTAAATGAATTCGCCCGCCCACACGAAATGCCCAACATGATGGGGGCAACCTACCGAGCGTTATTTTCTTTTCTTGTTTTTCGTTTTTTTTTTACTGTACAGCCTTCTTTAAGCCCTGGGCAGTGTCTTACAAACTGTGGGCAGGGTGTCAACTCTGATAAAGCAGCAGCAGATTGAAGCAGCAGCGACCATGGCTATGTCAACAAAATGCGCAGTGAAAGGCAAACTGCACAGCAGCCGAAAAATACACAAGCAATTGTCAACAGAAAAAAACACAAGAGTAACCGAATCCAATGAAGCTTTAAATACTCTTTATAAAACTGACGGTGTTTTTAAAAACGAGAAAATTTGCAAACGCATTCGCAGGAGTTAAATGAAATGGCAAGATAGCCTCTAATTTTATGAATATAACTCTTTATTTAGAGAGTGTATTCGAAATGAATATAGTTTGAGGAAAACGGCATCTCTTAGATATCTTTCTATCTCTCACAATCTTTTAGAATGTAAAGCGAGCAATAAAGTCAGCTTCAGTCTGTTTAACTTAATTCAAAGAAAAAATGCAAAGTTCTGTTTCTGTAATATTTATGTATGAGATGATCTATAAAGTGCTTGTAATATCTTTAATGGAACAACACTTTCAACACAATCAAATTAACTTCAATAATTCGCGACTTTTATTTCTAACATGAAGATTCTTTAGAGGGATATAACTTATGTTCTTCTTAAGCTATATCTCCCATTTTCTATTAATGAATTTAAATATGGATATGGAATTTAAACACAAAAAAGATTGACAATGCATGTTGGGCTTTTATACTTTGAATTGGGATCGTTCAGAGCTAAACATTTGCAGTTCCTCAACAATACTCTCATTTGTTAGAGTACACGCATATCGACAAAAAGCCACTTGAGTTTGCTGCTTAAGTCTTGCGTTTGCTTGCACAAAAATATCTTTAGTTGTCGTCGTCGTCGTCGTCATCCTCATCATCGAGAGTTATTCATCTTCACAGCACGCACTTCTCACATTCCGCTCTGCAGTTTCGAATCTCGGCATCATTCAATGACCAATTATGGCCTAACAAGGCCTCGGCTTTTCGCTCTTCACCTCAGCTGTTGCGGCTGAGACTGAGACTGAGGCTGAGACGATGGTTACGGCTCTGACTCTGGCTGCGGCTGCCGTTGCTGTTGATGTATGCAAATAAGCTGTCAAAAGTAATTTCATTCAATTACCTTATTTACAAAAAATACAGAGAGGAAACAGACAGCCAAAAGTGTAGAGAAATTCTGTCATGGCCAAAACCAAGTAGCAGCGGCAACGATGCAATCCATCAAGCCACACATACGAGTATGAAGAAGTGGCCAGTGATTGCCACAGCCTGTCCGACAATGCTTCCTATTGGCCAATTTTCGCACTCGTTCTCATCCCAATATTTGTTGTTGCACGCACTTTATAGCCCGATTAACACCTTGACTCAGACCAGGCCTGATCCGTTCCGTTCCGTCCCAGCCAGAAGTGGTTGCAGGGAACTTCCTTCCAAATGTCGGTCGTGTCGTTGCCGTGGATTATCAAAACATTTTTGATAAGACACAGAGGCAAAAGGTAAGCCACCACCTTCTCCTGCCTTCCATTCAAGTCGTTGGTTCGCAGTTTGTTGCCTAGGCTTAGTGTTATTATTGTAGTTGTCGTCGTCGTTGTTGTTGTAGTTGTAGTTGTTGTAGCTATAGCTGACTCGACTCAAAGCTGTGCATATTTTTATGCAATTTCCGGCAGATGTGGATGATTTACCTGCCGCTTTTCTTTCGTTGTTTTTTCTGCCCGTGTGTGCCTGATGAGAAATGGCTACGTGCTGTGGCAACATCAGCGGCAACAACAGCAGTGGAAGAAGAGAAGAAGAAGCATGCTTATGGTGCCAAGTGTTTTGTCTATTTTGCGGTTTAGAAGAGGAGGAATAACCCAACATACTATATAACCAGATATTTGACGCTTCGTTGGACACTAGCTTGGCACTAGCTTGAATACTGGCCTCTTTGTTCTCAAGTAGTTGATGAGCTCTACTTTTCATTCCAAACCATGATTGAATTACAAAGCGTCCAATCATTCTGATTCGATGATGAACAAAACTGCATGCAAAATCTTTCACTTTGAACAAAAATGTCAAATTGTAAGTATGTATGTACTTGCAAATGGATCATAGATTTATTTCTATTGACTTGGTTTCATTCGATTTATTTGATTTACATTTGTTGTATTTTATTTACAAATTCCCTAACTCAAATCAACGAACCCCAAATCTCAAAGAGTTAACTTCAAACTCTGATTTATATATAGACCATTATGTCTTTATTTTGTTTCTTTTAGTCTTGTTTAATTATTATTTTATTTAATAATTAGATTTATTTCTATTGACTTGTTTTCATATGATTTATTTGATTTACATTTGCTTTAATTGATTTAAAAATTCTTTAACTCAAATAAACGAATCTCAAAAAGTTTACTTCAACCTCTGATTTATATATAGACCATTATGTTTTTATTTTGTTCTTTTTAGTCTTGTTTAATTATTAATTTATTTAATAAATTGATTTATTTCTATTGACTTGGTCTCATATGATTTATTTGATTTACATTTTGTTTATTTAATTTACAAATTCTTTAACTCAAATAAATGAATTCCAAATCTCATAAAGTTTAGTTTCTTTTAGTCTTGTTTAATTATTAATTTCTTCTTACAAATATATATCAGCTAACAGAAACCTGTTAACATTTAGTGTCCGGAAGTAACTTTTGAGCAGAATTAATCATGTTATGATTTTGTTGTGAACACTTTATTGAAGCTCTATGAATCTACAAATCTACAATTACTTCTGACTTGGGGCTTTCAAATAGACTATTTCTATAACGGATATTAACTTAATATTGAACACATAAATGCCTTAAAGACAATGTGGTTTGGCCTTTGTTTTTTTTTTAGTAATAGCTGTGCTCTAGCGTAAGGATTTTGTCTAAAA